ATGAGTTTTCTGTATTCCACAGTTTTTATATAAATCTTCATTCAAAGGCATATATTGAGGTAGAATTTAGAATTTCTATGGTAAATGTTTTAATAAATTGCTGGTTTAAAAAAAAAATCTTTTTTTTGGTCTCAGAGAGGTCCCTCCTCCTGTGATTATCTCCGTCGGTTCATATACCAAGTTGTTCCAGCCTAAAAAGCTCTTCTCCCTCTCTCATATTTTTCCACCACATTCAATTATTCTAGAAGTCTTTTGAATTTGCCTCCAAAATATGTTTCGAATTATAGCCTCAACTTATCCCCAACATTGCAGTATATTTTTTGAATATCATATCTCCTTTGTACGTGCTGTTCAATCTTACTTCAATCCTCCCTATCTACTCTTCTAGGTCAATTCTAACTGATGCCCAGTTCAAATGGCATGGCCTCTGTGAGTCCATTACTACTCTTAGAGGCAGACTTAATCTATCCTTTCTCCGTTTTTACCATAGTGCATAACACATCTATTGCAATTATTCATGTGTATGTCAATTACCTCCATTAGATTGTTACATTTTAATAGCAAGAATAATGAAAGTAGTTCAAAGACTGATACTGAGTAAACACAAGCTTAATATTTAATATACCATATGAATGAAGACGAGCATTCAATTTTAGAATATAATTTCCTGTTACATATATGTAAACTGTTTACTGCATCAGTACTCTTCAAAGAAACTGAATGTAAACTAAACTTAATCAAAGCAACAGATAATACATAAAGCTGTTTGGAAGATAAAATCCAGTTGCTGATGTTATGTGCAAATTATGTGGTTTCATTTAATGTTCTACTTTAAATAAGTCTCATTTAAATCAATATCCTATTTTAGTAGTAAGAAGCCAATAACAAGAATTGTGCTTTTCATTTCATTAAGGAAAACTTTAAAAAATGCATATTGTCATGAAACAAACTCTCTTTTATCTAGAAATATCAGAGCAAAACTAATGTACTGAAATTAAATTACTCACATGAGTACTCATAAGAAATCAGTACTAGAATTGTTCATATTCTATAAACAGTTATGGTGATCATTTCGGATTACAGTAATTTTAAGCAAACTTACTTTTGGAAATTGTATATTAATACCCTTTATCTGCATATTTGTTATGTAAATGAATAACACTTTATTAGATGACAGCTTGATGAAAAATCTTTAAAAGATTACTAGGAAAAAATTAATGTTTTATAAATGTAACATTCTACTCTATTAGATTTTCTTAAAATATATTTAAGTACACTTATTCCTCTACTTTTCAAAATATGTTTCAGTTCATTTTTTCACATAAATCTAGAAATGCACACAGAAAATTAATGCCTCAA